TAATAAAAAAAAAAAATTCAAAAAAAAAAAAAAAAGACAAATATTGGATGTTTTTGTAGCAGACAAGCCAACAAAGAAAAATACAAAAACAAGTAGATGCTAATAAACAAAATGAGGTTTCTGAGGTTAAGGTGGATGAGAGGGAAGGAGGAAGGGCCAAACAGTATAAGGGAAGGTGATGGGAAATAAAACTAAAATAAAAAGGCTTAATTTTTTTTTAAAAAAACACCTCAATATAAACTCTTGCACCTGAAAACTGTGGAAGCTACCCTCTCTTATTCTGTTTGGCCCAGCTATTTATAAGAGAGGCATCTTACGCCTTTGTGGCCTCCAAAAACAAGGAGATTTGGCGTTTTATGTAAGGCTGTCTCAGGATGCTCCTCACAGAAGGTCTTTCTTCAGGCTTTTTGCTCAACATAGTTCTTATCAGTTCTGCCAACTCTGGACTATAATCTTTCGGCATTGGCGGCAGCTACAAAGAGAAATAATGTCTCAGTTATGATTAAGGATTCTGTGAAACTAAGTGAAAGATCAACGTTTACAATAATTTATTTATTTAAAGTCATTGTCTACTAAGCAGAAATAACCAGCACATCAATCTATAGGAAGTATTCTGGCAATAACAGCAAGTTGTAAAAGTAGTTTCTTCAAATGAGCAGTCCCAATTGAGGACTCTCTCCTTCATAAATTCCTAAAGATTTATGTGCCAAGATATTCATTGCAATATTGTTCTTGCAGTAGTAAGCAACTGGAAATTATACATCATTCCATCAGAGGTTTGTGGAATAGATTATGGCACATTCTTGTAATAAAATATTAGGAAACCTCTTTAAAAATACAGGTGTTTACCTGGAAAGATGTCCCTTGTGTATTAAGTCCAAAAAGTGATTTGCTTACTGATGTGCATAAATTAATTCCATTTCAATTACTTTTAAAGTATCTATACGTATACATGCCACCAAATTATAAGCAATGATTATCTCGAGGCAACGGAGATCAATATTGAGAGGGGAATTTCATTGTTGGATCCTTTAAAAGTCAAATTGTGGGAAATTTTTGTCTTTTTCATTATTTTTCAAATTGAAGTTGAGTATAATCCTCATGGAACTAACATATAAAACATAAGTCACTCTGACATCTATATCACACATGATGCTTTCTGTTGTTCTTAACTGGTTACTGGTAATTTTAAGATGAACAAAAGAACAAGTTCAGAGTAGACTCATTTTAAATGGAGTTCATTTAACCATAAGCTACTTAGGGGAAGCTACTAATAATCTCTCAGGGAAGTCGCATTCCTGTGTCTACAAGGTAGTAGTTTTCAAAATATTCTTTGGAGCCATTAAGCCACTTTTACAAATTAATATTAAGAAAACAGTCAATCTTTCTTCTTCTATTCCAACCTTTCCCATTGAAAGGAGTCACCATTATTAACTACCAAGCATCAAAATTATTCACTTTTGCCAGTAACTCCTTACAAAGCCTGCATTAAATTAACCTTGTTCCTGCCCTCCCTGGTGGCGCAGCGGGTTAAAGCACAGCACTAAGAAGCTAAGGCCACTTCCGCATGAGTTCGATTCCCCCCTGCCCTGGAGGTGACCACATGGCACGGCAGACCTCTCCTGACCCACCCGCTGCTCCCCTCAGCAGTGTACTTTGTC